AAGAAAAAAGAAAGAAAAAAGAAAGAAAAAGAATGAGAGATGAAAGAAAAAAAGAAAAAAGGGACAGAGAGACGAAAGGAAGGAAAAAGAGAGAAAACACATGGCTGGCAAGCCACTCCCACCAGGTCACATGGCCGGCAAGTCACTCCCACAAAGGAGGCCACACCCACAGAGTAGGTTCCAAAAAATTTTGAAACCCACCACTGGTTCTGTTACAATACAGCCTGTTGTGCCTTAAAAAGGCTTCTAGTGTACTGCCATAAAATGGCTTCTACTATACATTGCAGTGGAGTTGCCATGGTAACAGCTTCACAGTACTTCACAAGGGGGCTCCCTCTGGTAAGGGAGAAAATGCAACATTAGAAATTACGTTTGGTCCGGACATTTCCTTCTATAAATACCCAGACAATGCAGGGTTATCAGCCAATATTTCATAAAACAGGTAAAACTGATTTATGCTTCACAGAAAACACAAATAATTGAAAACCATGATAGATACAAAAAGGAACAAGACAAGACTGCCCGTTTATTCAATATTTCAAGAACCAGAATAGAAATATAAAGGAAGGACTATAAAAGAATGTGCAGGTAATTCTCCAGTTATGGCCATAATGGAGCCTGCCCATCAAAGTTGTAACAGCCATAAAGCAGGTCACCCATGTGACCAATCTGATTTTACAACATTGTCTGCAGTGGTCATCGAGAAATGTCAGGGCTGTTAACAAACCAATAGTCCTCAGTGGGCTGGTTTGGCAAAACTGTCATAAAACACAGTCGTTACCATGGGATGTTGCATCCTGGCCACTAAGTGCCTCACCTCTAGTCACATGACTGTGGGTGGGGAACATCAAAACTGTATCCCCAGGAATCACCCCCGTAACTATGAACAGTCACTAAGGGACCATCAAGAGACACTTCTTTTAGTTATAAAAATATAAATGGAACTAATATAAATATTATAAGACTCCTTCCCATGGGACAATGCCTTTGTTTTGAAATTCTTTTAAAGCAAAACATAAAACAATGGGAAAGAACCGGAAGGATCTAACGATTACACTTAAAGGAAAAGAACATTTAATTTGACTTACTAATACAAAATGGAGCAAAATAATTCGACATTAGATAATATTTGTAAATCATGGACCCAGGAGCGAATTTTAAGAAGGCCTGACATTATATATAGACTGTCTTTAAAAGATGTTACACTGGACCAGCTAATGTCTTAATAATTGAAAGAGAAACACAAACAAACAACCTGGCTAATTCTCCTATTGGGTTTACAAAACAGGCTGTTAAAACTGAAGAAATTTTGAGAACAAAGAAAAAAAAATAAAGGAATTCACTTTCTAGGATATTATTTAAAGGGATTAAAGAGCAAGTTTGTTAAAAGAAACGGAAGACATATAAAGTTGGATTATTTGATCAAGGTTAAAACAGATATTTGGTTACGTCTTAATGGACTTTTGCTGACCAGACTTTAAGAATTTGTTTATAGATAAGGGGTAAGATATGAAAAGAAATCATTTATTGAATCTTAAAAGGTGATAAGCCGCTGAAATTATTTATACTCGTTATGATGAAAGACGTCATTTTTTTGTATATTTTTTTTCTTTACTGGATCATTTTCTTCTTTTCTTTCCAGCAACTTCCATAGTTTTTCTAATTCTTTTTCCTTTGTATCTTTTTAATTGCAACGCTTAACAAGATTACTGCAAAACGTCCCATCCCTGCCTGATGTTGGGCTTGAGTTTGTCTCTCGTCTATTTTAGCTCCAGCTTTGCAGCCAGACAAGCAGCACCAGGAACAATTGAAGCAATCTGCAATGCACCTCTCTCTACAGGCGAGGACGTCCCAGGGGGTCCCAAGCCCACTCACCTGCAAAGGCTCGGGCCTCGTCTGTTGGAACGGCTCGCAGGTGACGAAGGTCGCTTTTGTTCCCCACGAGCATAATGACAATGTTGCTGTCGGCGTGATCTCGCAGCTCCTTCAACCACCTTTCCACATTTTCATAGGTGAGGTGCTTGGCGATGTCGTAAACCAGTAAGGCTCCCACGGCACCACGGTAATAGCTGGAGGCACAAAGCACAAAATGGATTATCCATCATTTACATTTCCAGGTCTGCCCATTCACTGACAAATCTGGGTGGCTTGCAAGGATGGGAACAAATGCTACATTAGGGCCGCGGTGGCGCAGGGGTTAGAAGGCACTACCGCAGGTTACTTCAGCTGACTGCCGGCTGCCAGCAGTTCGGCAGTTCGATCCTGACCAGCTCAAGGTTGATTCAGCCTTCCATCCTTCCAAGGTTGATAAAAGGACCCAGAGTGTTGGGGAAAATGTGCTGACTCTGTAAACCGCTTAGTGAGGGCTGTAAAAGCATTGTGAAGCAGTATATAAATGCTATTGCTATACAGGTAGTCCTTGACTTTCGACCACAATTGGAATCAAAATTTCCATAGCTAAATAAGGTCATTGTTAAATGAAGAATGCCTGATTTTATCACATTTTTTGCCAAGTGAATCCCACGTTGTTAAACAAAACTGGCCTTCCCGATTGATTGCTTGTCTCTTTCCTCCCACGACCTGGTTTCAAACGGGCTGTAGACCCCTGATTTAAATCACTTAAATATAGCTAATGTGTCTGTTCCCACTACATAAATTTCTTCCTCTTCTTCTTCTAACAACCCCATAATCCCTTGCGAGGTGGAGTTGGAGCAACTGAAAGGAGCTAGCAGAGTGTTTACTGGCCGGATGCCCTTCCTGTCGCCAAAGCGGAGTTTTGTTCAGCAGATATATTCTCATTGTGCCCAGAAAGAGAAATATCTGCCTCTACCTAGGATTGAACTCACAGCCTCCTGATTGTGAGGCGAGAGCTCCACCTCTAGGCCACCGCACCACTCCACATAATTTTCTTCCTCTGCCATGTTAAAAATAAACATAGAAATGAAAAGTATTATTGTACATTTTCAGTTTTCATTAATCCAGAGGAAACTGTATGGAAAACAAGGTGGGTGGCATAATAAATACATAAGACACATTTGGATATTCTGGGCAGGAAGGGAAGGGAACACTTACGCAGATGTGATGGCTCGGTATCGTTCCTGCCCAGCTGTGTCCCAGATCTGAGCTTTTATGGTCTTGCCATCCACTTGGATGCTCCGGGTGGCAAACTCTACACCGATGGTGCTTTTGCTCTCCAGGTTGAACTCATTACGTGTGAAGCGAGAGAGGAGGTTGCTTTTCCCAACTCCGGAGTCCCCAATGAGAACCACTGGAAAGGTGAAAATGGAAGATTATTGGAGAAAGAACTTAGAACAAAAAGTAGAATTTTGTTATTCTAGATGTCAACTGTGGCGAGAATTCTGTGGGTGTCAAAAAATAGAAAGTGGGCTTCGGACTTTGGCTGTTTTTACTGGTTTTTCTGCCTGGAAGTCTCCTGGAGTGGGGCTAAAAGAAAGAAAGAAAGAAAGAAAGAAAGAAAGAAAGAAAGAAAGAAAGAAGGAAGGAAGGAAGGAAGGAAGGAA